GGAATGATCTGAGCATGCAGGAGGACTGACCCATCATAAACCTTTGTCAGCTGTGCTGAAGAGAAAGGTACAGAACCAAATTATTTAATTAATTAGCTGCGTGTTCTCCTGTCCTCTGTCCTCCGGGCCACACACACACACACACACACACACACACACACACACACACACACACACACACACACACACACACACACACACACACACACAGATACACACCTTTTCGAAGGTTGTCTTGTATTTCCTTTATCATTGTGGTGAAATGTGATCAGCCTGGTAAATAGGTTTCATAGTGTTCTGGATTGAACTTCTTGATCGCCGAACATGGACAGGGATCTCGTGTCCGTTACCAGCATGTTCAAAATGTCCTCCGTCAGGACGTTGGCTTGTTGCGGTGTGCACGTGTTTGGCCTTGTAAGAAACTTGTCCATTGTAGAAGAAGAGCGCTTTTTTTTAGCGTTGTAACGTAGCGTGATAAAATTAATCATTAGCATTTGTAACATCAGAGCAAATACGTGACATACATACGTGTAATCACTTAAACATTCTCCCTCTCCTGATAATAACGCTTTACTTTCTTTGACATTGAATGTGTTACTACTAGTTTACCTGTTTAATTATAGATTCTCTAGGATAAATACAATAAAGTTTATCTCTCACCAAATAGAATATTTACTAAGAAATCATAATGTAACCATAGAAACACTACTTGGTATATTTGTGGTGTAGATGTGTGTGTGTGCATGCGCGTGTGTGTGTGTGTGTGTGTGTGTTTGTGCGTGTGTGTGTGTGTCCTCTGTCTTCTCCATCCCCAGTGAGTCATGGTAGATGGCTGCTTATACTGAGTCAGGATCCTCTGGAGCTTTCTTCCTGTTAAAAGGGAGTCTCCACTGTCTCTACATGCTTGCTTAGTATCAGGATTACTGTAAAGACTCTGACTCTAGTCAGTGACTCAATGTAATTTGCTGGGTTCCTTATATAGGAAACGTTTTTACTGATTGGCTTAATCAACATCACCGCTGCGGTCGGTAACTGATGGCGCCTGTGCTTGGCTTAGCCGCTGTCACCGGCCACTCTTTCAAACTTTTCTCCTCCACTAACCTCCTCTTTTCCACCTTGCTCCGGTCTGCGATCCTCTTCAGTAGTGTCCCTGCTACCATCTTCTATGATCGCCAGACTCTTTTGTCCTTCCGTTCGTTCACGATCGCCCAAAATGCATCGAGGACGTACCTCCCTGTTTGTTTATCTGAGTGACGCACTGGCCTAGAGCCAAACAACGATCCCAACCTGCGCACCTCCAGCGATGTTTATCTGGTCCCAGGAAAATGTAGGAGGAAAAGAGGTAAACGAGCAGAAATCCAGGTGAGAATAAGACTTCTCTTAAAGCGTGGTTTATCTAGTAAACATCGGCGTGATCTTCTAGCTTCTCTTCCTTTGTCTGGCGACTTGAGCGCCACTTCAGCATTCCCGCCAGGCCGCGTTGCGGCGCGGTTCATCCGTCCAAGTTTTTTAAGGTCGGTTTATCCTCATTCCTCAGTGGTTTCTCCTCCTGTTCCCTCCATAAGTGGTTTTTATAAACACCGTGGATCTAACCCTGCTAATTTACGTCCACTAACTCCAGCTGTTTCTGTAGTTTCTGATTCCTCCTCCTCACTCAGCATGGCTCTATTAAATACCCGCTCTGTTAACAATAAGACCTTCTTGCTCAATGATTTAATTCTCTCTAAAAACCTGGATTTTCTGTTTCTGACTGAAGTTTGGCAGCAAACATCTGATTATTCTGCTCTGATTGAACTTTGCCCGAGTGGTTATTCTTTTCTTAGCCAGCCCCGGGGTTCTGGTCGTGGTGGAGGCCTAGCTGTTGTTTTCAGAGACCACCTTCCATGTAGCTCTACAACATATGGTCACTTTACTTCCTTTGAACTGCAGCTGATTAAAGTCGGGCGTAAGGACCCGTTCTACTGTGCTGTGGTTTATCGTCCACCTGGTCCAAACAGTTCTTTCCTTCAGGAGTTCAGTGACTTTCTATCCTCCACTGTGAAGCTGTCCAGACTGGTGATTGTTGGTGACTTTAACGTCCACGTTGATGATCCCTCTGATCACCTTGCCATGAATTTCTCCAGCCTTATGGACTCCTTCAGCTTTACCCAGCATGTTTCTGGCCCCACACACACCAGGGGGCACTCTCTGGACCTTGTTTTTACCCTGAGTCTAAATGCTGACAGTGTTTGTCCTGAGGACGTTTATATTTCAGACCACCATTGCATTTTCTTTAACTTGTCAGTTTCTGCGTCCCCACCTCCTGCTCGCCGTATGGTTAGTTCTCGTTTTCTTAATGAGAGCACAACTAGCAAGTTTTCTGCTGCTTTTGATCCACCCTGTTCTTCTGATAACGACCCAGATTCCTCAACTTCTCCGTTTAACGAGCACTGCCTCTCCATTCTGTACAACATCTGTCCTGTCAGAACCAGATCAGTTCCTGCAGTGAACCCTATTCCTTGGTTTAATGACAGCCTTCGCAGCCTGAAGCGCCAATGCAGAAAAATTGAGCACTTGTGGAAGAAAACCCATCTCCACGTCCATCTGCTGCACCTAAAGGATCTTCTGTCATCCTTTATCTCTGCAGTCAGAGACGCGAGGGTTTCCTACTTTTCCAACCGGGTGTCCCAGAGCAAAGGGAACCCCAAGGTGCTGTTTAACACCATCAGCAGCATCGTCTCTCCTGCCTCAACTACAGCCTCCATCCACTCTGTTACAGACTGTGAGAACTTTCTGTCTTTCTTTGTGGACAAAGTCAATAAGATTAGATCTAGCATCTCTCCTTCAGCCTTATCGCTGCCTCTCCTGACTCCAACCAGGCCCATCATCCTAGATAGCTTTGCTCCAGTTTCTTTGCCTGAGTTAACCAAACTAGTTAACTCTATGAAGACCTCTGCATGCCCGCTCGACATCTTACCCTCATCTTTGTTTAAAAGTGCTTTTCAGTCCATCGGTCCCAGCGTGCTCTCTATAATTAATGCTTCTCTGGTTTCTGGTCAGTTCCCTGCTTACTTTAAGAACACTGTAATCCACCCGCTTCTTAAAAAAACGAGTCTTGACCCCTCTCTCCATAGCAGCTTCAGACCCATCTCTAAACTTCCATTCATCTCCAAGATCTTGGAAAAGGTTGTGGCTAAACAACTCACAGCTGCTCTTGATGAACATAACATCTATGATAGCTTCCAGTCAGGTTTTCGTAGAGCTCATTCTACTGAAACAGCTCTTCTTAGGGTCTCTAATGACCTTCTGACTCACAGTGATGCAGGGGACTGTTCTGTTCTGGTTCTGCTGGACCTGACTGCAGCCGTTGACACTGTTAACCATCAACTGCTACTGGAGAGGCTGAGAGACTGGGTAGGCCTATCAGGAACTGCTTTGGAGTGGTTCTCCTCTTATCTTTCTGAGCGCTCCTTTTCTGTGGCCATCTCTAAGTTTAGGTCCCCCACCACCTCCCTTACCCATGGTGTCCCACAAGGTTCTGTGCTGGGGCCTCTGCTCTTCCTCCTCTATCTGCTTCCTCTTCAGCACATCATGAGCTCCTTCAAAGGAATCTCCTACCATCTTTATGCAGATGACATCCAACTGTACATCTCCTTTAAGCCCCATGAGATGTCTAAGTTGCAGCTGTTACACACCTGCTTAGACTCTATCAAAACCTGGATGGCTCGGAGATTTCTACAGCTGAATGAAGATAAGACTGAGATCCTCATCTGTGCCCCAGACAAGCTGGTTCCCAAAGTCAGAGACTCTCTTGGCCAGCTTGCTACTCACACTAAACCTTCTGTCAGGAATCTTGGTGTGACCTTTGACCCAGCTCTCACCCTGGATTCTCATGTCAGTTCTCTTGTTCGCTCTTCCTTCTTCCATCTCAGGAACAATGCTAAGCTGAGTCCCATTCTGTCCCGCTCTGAACTTGAGACAGTTCTCCACACCTTCATCTGTAACTCTCTTTTCACGTGTCTGAGCAGAACCTCCCTGAACCGTCTACAGGTGATTCAGAATGCCTGTGCTCGGCTTCTGACCAAGTCCTCCAAACACACCCACATCACCCCGCTTCTCCTCCAGCTTCATTGGCTGCCAGTCAACTTCAGGGTTCATTTCAAGATCCTGGTTCTGGTCTATAGGGCCTTACATGGACAAGCACCATCTTACATTGGTGATCTTCTTAGTCCCTACACCCCCAGCAGGTCCCTGAGGTCCAGTGATCAAAGCCTACTGGTTGTGCAGCACCAGGCTAAAGACCAAAGGTGACAGATCATTTGCTGCTGTGGCCCCCAGACTCTGGAACTCTCTCCCCCTGAGCCTGACATCAGTGGACTCAGTGGTCTCCTTTAAAAAGCAGCTGAAAACTCACTTGTTCAAGCTGGCTTTTGTATGACCTTCTTCACCACTCTCTCTATATTCTGCTCTCCCCACCTATTCCACCTTCCTCAGGATCCACTGATTTCCCTCTTTCCTGTTCACTCTCTCTCTTTCTTAACATTTTTAAATCACAATTGCCTATTTTTTGCTCATTTTAAATATATTTTTAAACATTTTCTAATGCTTTTTTATATTTCTACATTTTTGTGAAGAACTTCGTGATTTTTATCTTGAGAGGCGCTATAGAAATGATACTTTCTTCTTCTTCTTCTTCTACTTTCTTCTTCTTCTTCTTCTTCTTCTTCTTCTTCTTCTTCTTCTTCTTCTTCTTCTTCTTCTTCTTCATGAACTGACCTGTATTGGAATGTTTACTGTGTGAAGTGCCTTGAAATGACTCTTGTTGTGATTTGGCGCTATATAAATAAACTTGAATTGAATTGAAGCAAGCTGGACCATCCTTCATGCAAGTGGAGGATCCACAACTTTGCATGGATGAAATGCCAATGTTTATTAGAGTAAAAGAAGGTGATCTGCACCCCAATAACACAAAAACATGCAACTGTTGGACAATTTGTCAAGCTCTCCTTGTAGCTACTGACCTGTGGGACTCTCTGGGACAACAGGGGTCCAGGTTAGTCGGGTCTGCGTGAGCAAGACATCATGACTCTTTTTCTCCACCTTGAAGATTCCCCGCAGCAACACCCTGTCACTGACACATAAAAACGCACAGCAACACAACACCAGACATCATTTACTAATACATATTGATTAATTTACAGTTGGATCAATCACTAAGTGTTACAACCCTAGTGTGGTAGGTGGTTGTGGAAGGAGGGGCAACATAATAACTGGAGGGAAAAAAGGGGAGTATAAATAAAAATGTTTTTTTTTTAATTAACAAAAGTGTAAACACAAACTCTCATTCCTGGATGGAAAATATAACAGGAGCTAAGGTTTAATTTACCCGGATCAAAAAGTGAACGAAGGCGACGGGGAAGAACTCAAAACATCTGAGGCAAAAGGCCTCAGAGAAGAAAACTTAAGTACAATTAATTCAAAGTAACTAAAGTAGTAACGACCGTGATTATCGATTCACGTAGAAATGAACAAATTCAGACTGATCAGACATCAGAGGGTTTGAAACTCATATCATGTGTGATAACTAGGGATGCACAATATATCTGCATCAATATCAGTATCGGCCAATGTTAGTAATCTTTTAACATATCGGTATTGGTGAGATAAATAAAACTTGGCCGATTTTAACTACCGATATTCTTTCTATCTTGTTTCCATTTATTTATCTGTTTCAGAGGATAAGGGGGGTGATGTGTATTTGTTTAGTGACAGTGATTGTAATTATCTCAGAAGAGTAAATGTGTGTGATGTGTGTAGATGATAACGTAAATTCAGCTTAAATAATTTTCATTTTATACAAAATCTGCTGATTTTAGAAGCATTAATGTCAGTATATCAGTATCAGCAAATATCAGCCATAACAGCGATATTAACTCATTCACTGCCATTGACGTCTAAAGTCGTCATTTTAGATCCAACCGTTCACTGCCAATGATGACTAAAGTCGTCATTTTAGATCCAACCGTTCACTGCCAATGACGACTAAAGTCGTTATTTGCATTTTTTTTTACTGTTTGAGCATCAGAACAAGCCCCCGCGATGAGAGAACAAGCCGATCTTCATCCGCATATGTCACACGTCACGTGATTAGGAAGCAGACCATCCATGTGTTAGGAGATTGTTTTGGGCCGTTCCTGTAAAAAAGTGAGGCGCGAACCGGAAAAGCGTCTGCCGATCACAATTCAACAACGGATTATGAAAGAACGGATAACGCTCGAAACACACAGATTCTTCCTGATTTAAGAGGTGATTCTCCTCTTTGTTTTGGTTGTTTTGGCGTCGACATCATCCTAGTGCGCAATGTTCTGCGGCTCTTAAAAAAACAATAAAAATGGTGAGAAACGCTGGGAGCGAAGGCCGTTAACGATCAGGAAACGGCTGGCAGTGAATGAGTTAATATCGGTATCGGCCCCAAAATTTCATATCGGTGCATCACTAGTAGTAACAGAACATTAAATTCCAACATTCCTACAAATTAAGTTGCAAAGTTCAAACAACTGATAGTTTCTGATAAGAGTTACTGACTTACTGACCAGAATCTGACATTCTGATAAAACAGAAATGTATTAATCAATCAACATTACCTGATGCACTGATTCCCAGTGCAACTGCAAAGGTGTCTCTGCATGTTTAATATTAAACGTACTAATTAACTAGTCAAGTTCCAATCAGAAGCACAACAATGATGAACAAGTGATGAATATAATTTAAATGTATACATTAACAGTTTAGTGTCCACGTGCTAAATCTGTTTTGTTTATTTTGTTGGATTGGTAAGGCTTTTGAAAAAGCTTGTTGAGGAGCATTATTAGCCCATATGATATTAGCATGTTTTCTTTATAACTATGTAAGCACGAACTTTTCGCTGTAAAAGAACTTCAATAACAACTCACATCTGCTCTTCTTCCTTCTCCACCTGCTTGTCCTCTTTCCGCACCTCCTCCTCTTCCTCCTTCTTTGTCTCCGTTTGTTTCTTTTTCTTCTTCTTGCTACAGTCTCTCTGCTTTTCCTTCGCCTCCTCTTCGGGCTTCGACATGTTTAGTAAAGCAGTTGACGAGCCAAAAAATAAAATTAAAAAACCAAAAAAACTAAACTTGAGGGCTATTATTTTGCTCCTTTCAGACAAACATGCAGTAAGCTGTTGTATTTCCGGGGTGTCGTCGCTATGGAGACAGGCAGCGGATTTACCAAGCTCGCGGCGGGCAGATCCACCGGTGTGAAATCCATGCGCATGCGCGCTATCGTTGATGCAGGAGCGTGCAGACGGAGTAGAAAGGTCCCATTTCTAGCTTCATTCCACAAAATAGAAGAATCCGCAAACTTTCCGCGTTTTTACTACACTCTTTAACCCCTTCACAACCACGGAGGTTTAGTGAAAAGCCAAATGAAAAAACAACTGAAACTGTTTTTTAAACCACAAATAGAAACATTTATTCAACTCTTTTTCGTTTTTCTGTGCAGCGATGGTTTGATAAACAAGACAATTTTTTTTAAATATACAACATCATTAAAATAGCTTGAAATGCTCTTTAAGTGATAATCAATAATTTGTTTTTTAATGCAATGCCTAAAAATGTAATAATTTTTATCTCTTGGACAAACATAATCCAATTGTTGGAAAAGTCCCATTCATAAAGATTGGACGTTGATGAATGGATCCTGAACCGTCCATCAAACTGCACCTCTGATTGTTCCACTAAGGGAGTTATTTCACAAACTGCTTGGAATCTCACTGTTCTGGTTGGGAAACACTTATGTGATGGACCTGTGGCCTGAACATAGGCTGTCCTTTGTTGGCTGGCAGAGCTGTTGGTTTGTTGCCTTGCATGCATAGGTGTGGGGGCGCTAGAGAAAGGGGGCTGGACCTCAAAATTGTAAATCAAAAAGTAGCTTGCTCCAGCAACCTTTTCAGGAACTCCCATCCTATCTTTGAAAAATATTTATACCTAAAATTCAAGCTCCAAGAATTGTTTACCAAGCTGTTTATGAACAAATAAAAATAGCTGTAAGATATTGGAATCAGACAATGATCTACTTACCCCCATGGCTATCTGCCATCTATTCCTAGTAATGATTAGATTAATTAAAGCTTAATTTCCATGCTTCATTGATGGCAGAAACCGCCACAGTTGGATTTCATCACTGTTTTCTGTAACAGAAGCATGAAGCCATTGTTCTGGCGTCCTGCAGCTTAATACACCTGGACTGTTGTCTGGTTGTGCATCCTGTGATATTATTTGACAGACACCTGCCAGCCAATCGGAAAAGATGGGGGCTATGGTATTAACACCGTATTATGAGCTGCAGCTCAAACACACACTCAGCATGTTTGTGCATGTGTGTGTGTGTGTGTGTGTGTGTGTGTGTGTGTGTGTGTGTGTGTGTGTGTGTGTGTGTGTGTGTGTGTGTGTGTGTGTGTGTGTGTGTGGGTGGGTGGGTGGGTGGTGGTGGGGGTGTACCAGACAGATGGCTGAGTTTAAATCTGCATTAATCAGTGTTATGATCAGCCAAAGGCTTAAATACAAAACCACAAAGACTGTTAATACGGTTACTGTATGCATTCCTACTGATAAGTCATCGGTAATATAATTTGGTTGCTTCAATTAGAAATTTAAAAGTTTTTTGACTATGGAAAATCTTATTATTTTAGCTGTTCTCAAATGATTTTTCAATAATTGAAGCAAAGGTCATGCCATATGCTAATTTATGTTTTTAACTTCACGTGTGTTTTATTTGTTCTTCCCTCTCATTTACAGCTGCTCTCAAATAGATGCAAAACAAAAGCATTAAATAAAAAGCTATTTTTAAATTCTACATAAATAATTTAAAATTGATGTTAAAACCTGAGAAAATGACTAAAGCTGAGTTTTCTCGTAAAACCGAGAGGGATGTTTTGACTGAAATCATTCTCAGTAATATTTCACTTCACTAAGAGGGCTAAATGGTGGGATACGGCCACCATATTGTCCCAGTTGACTCTCACACACACAGTGGGATATCAGTGTGTGTGTGTGTGTGTGTGTGTGTGTGTGTGTGTGTGTGTGTGTGTGTGTGTGTGTGTGTGTGTGTGTGTGTGTGTAAGGGGGGCTCCCATGCATAAATGAGATCATTTTCATAAATTAAAACCTCGCCTGCCTGCAGAACAAACATCTGTGTCCTTCACACAGAAGCAGGAATCCTGATTTTGTCCTTCAGACTGTGGGATGATGTTTGCTGGGTTTTCTCCGTTAGAAAATTTTGTCTTTTGGATTTTCTCCCTGTTGCTGCCACTAAGAAAATCTTTGAATCCCTAAATGATCTGGCTTTGTTTATTTGAGCTAACTGTTAATCCTTAGCATTAAACTTTTTATGGGCGTATTGTTGACACAAACTGTTCTAATGATCTGATTTAAATGGAAACTGTCCTCTGTGGAAAAGCAAACATCCACATGACAGAAGTTGATGAGTCCATCTGATGTAGGTTAAAAAAAGAGCCTTGCACAAGGATGACGTGGAATTCCCTTTAATAAAAGGCGTTTATAAACATCTATCTTATAAAATATGAACAAGAGTCACATGAAATGTTAACAGAACGCTACAGGAACATTGTAAAAAGCATAAAGTAAAAACCACGTGAACAACATGAACACTTCAGCCCAACGCCGGCTCCAAGCCGGCTTAACGTCGCCTCTCACGCAGACCCAAAAATAGAGAAATCTTTTAATTCTTCAACATTTGGAATTAACAGCTGAGCTTAGCTCAAGTTTTTAATGAAATTGCATAGTTTTCTCCAGATTATTGCTCATTTAGAATTTATTATTTTTAAGTGATAGAATGGATAAAGATGAGACATTCAAAGAGCATCTCCTGTCAGGTGAAGCGCTACAAAGAAGGTTACAGCATCAATGGCGTCACCATCAGAAGGAGGGGGTCACAGAGCCTGACGAAGACAGATAGAAGGACAGGAAGGATGGCCGTGAAGACAGCAAGCAGATGATAGGAGTCTTCCCGTGTTATGGTCTGTCATCATCAACCTCAAGTTCTATTGTCTTCCTTCTCCTCATGAGTCGTGGAAGATGGCGTTCAACTGGGCGTTCATCAGCCGCTCGTGGTGTGAGTGTCCATCGAACCCCATCAGCTGTTCCACCTGTAGCTCACCACAACGCGGGTTGGGCCCCCCGTTGCCGTAGACGGTGGCGTGTCCCCCGGCTCCTCCGCCTCCGTAGTGCACACTGAAGGAGAAGCTTTTGTCGTAGTCGGAAGCTGCGACAGACTCATGCTTGAAGGAGGAGAAGTTACCGTTGATGCTCAGTGGCGGACTAAGAGGGGGGTCAAACGCCGGGCCATCGGACACCAGGACGCCGTCAAAGAAGGGTTCCAGTGGACCATAAGGCTGACCTTTGACCTGATGAAAGATGTGGGAAGGGTCCATTGTGCCGTAGGGAGGGCTGGGTAATCCAGCCGTCAGCCCGGGGCTCTGGTAGGGGAAGTGTACAGGATAGGGGGCGGCCCCGGAGGGGGGGAGGTGTGCCGGCAGGTCGGGCGTCTGCTCTGGAAGGAAGGTCCGAGGATTCAGCTGAAGGCAGCCCGCCACCAGATTAGTGGTCGGCTGAGACAGACCTGAGAACAGAGACGCAACTAATATTCAGTACAGATCAGAACTTGTTGATGAAAGGATTGATGCAAATAATTGTATATTTTATTGCCTTTAACACATGATGAATAAAAGTGGATTTTTAGTGTGCATGTGATGCATATTAAATGTTACATTTTGAAAAAATGATTGCTGCACCTGACACTCGTTATCCATAATATAATAAAATAATCTCTGCAGGCAAATGCAAGCGTGTCAGGTTTTATTCACGAGGTGATAATTTAACCCAGATGCAGAAGAAGACAAAGATCTGTGAGAGCATGCTGCAGAATGAACCAACTAGAACTTTAAAAACTTGGGAATTGTTGTTATTACTGGGAAAGTTTATTATTTGGATTCCTTTCTGAAAAAACGTTTTCAAACAATATTGAATTAGTTGTTATGGATTCACGGTCCCAGCAGAAGTCCTGCTGTAACATCATATTGTACCGCAAATATTCTGAAAGACAAGTTTTAGTTCCCGAGCACAGCCACTGCTGCAGCTCACCGCTCCCCCAGTGTGTGATGATGACTCACGGGACTTTAGCTTTGGTTTCTTGTCTAAAGACTCACATAAAAAAAATAACCTTTGACTTTTTCCCGCTACTTTGACATTGCCTGAGCCCAAACTCCTTTGATTGGCTCTTACCTTTGCAGAGCGCCTGGACAAAGCTCATGAGATCTGGAGCCTTGCCAGAGCGCAGGATCTCGCTGAGAGCCCAGATGTAGTTCTTGGCAAGTCGCAGGGTCTCGATCTTGGACAGCTTCTGCGTTTTTGAATAACAGGGGACCACTTTTCTCAGACTTTCAAGAGCATCGTTCAACCCATGCATGCGGTTCCTCTCTCGGGCATTAGCCTTCATTCGGCGGATCTTAAACCTGCAGACAGGTGGAATTTTCACAAATCAGTCAGTAATCCTACCTGCTGAAACGAAAACCTTTATCTGGTTTTTGGACCATGAACTGCTTTTGGGTCAGGATCTTTGAGCTTCAAAAAATGTTGTTCTAAAAACGTTTTATAAAAATGTTATTAACAGTAAACCCTTTTGATTTTTGTTTGCCCGAGACCTAAATCCTCTAAGATTGGAGGTTGTATAGATGCAAAAACCAGTTGAACTTCATATGGATGTTATGACATCAGAGTTCTCAACACTTTGAATAAAAACAACAATTATCTAAATATTTGTCCAGATCTTCAGAATTTAAGCCATACCTCTGCAGACGAGCCTTTGTCATTTTTTTCTTCTTTGGCCCCCGCCTCTTGGGTTTGTTCTCCCCATCGTCTTCTTCCTCCTCTTCTTCTTCATCCTCCTCCTCATCGTCCTCCTCCAGATGGTGAAATCGGTCCTCCTCCTCCTCCTCCTCCTCCCCTATTCCCCCTCCCCTCTCTATGTCTTTTCCTGCAGGGCTGCAGAGCTCCTGCTGCTCCTCGGACTCCGCTGAGACGTGTTCCTCCCTTATAGACCTCGTCATGGTGCTTTTCCTCTGGTCAGAATAAAAACAATTGAAAATGACTGGACATCTTAATTCAATGCTTCTGTCTTTGTCTCAGTTATAATACGGATATGCAGAAAAGTCTTTAACACTGTAAATATTTTTTTTACCTAACTGTTTCTTTTTTAACTTGAAGTAAAATATGAAAACCATTGACACATGTCTTATGTTAAATAATTTATTATGTTGTTCAGATCTGTATATTTTGAATGTGTGATTAATTTGTTTGAAAGAATAATTTAATGATATTTAATGATGGATCTCTGATAAAGTTGGTTTTGATTATTTTAACATGTGAGATTTCAGGATTAACAATATAAATCTTTTACATAACAATTAAAATAAAAGTTAGAAAGTTACTTTGAGGAAAATCAAACTAATAAATGTTCATTTCGTGCATCAAACATTTGGCCTCACATTTAACAGGCTCATGAGGCTACCTTTACTTATTTAGCATGAATAACTTTACAGTTTACGCAACCACCGCCTGTCAGAATTAATTAGCCTACAAATTATAAATATCCTACAACTGTCACACCAAAAAGCTTCACTTTTTCTAAAGATTTACCAAGTGTCTGATTTAATAAATTGTACCTTTATGGATAACATATTTAGA